GGGGCAGCTGGGTAGGAGCCTCCGGCCGCAGGGCGAGCGCAGGGCTGGGGCTGGGAGCCTCAGGCTGCGGCTCCAGCTGGGGCTGGGCCAAAGGCTGGGTCACCTGAGGACAAGGGTCTTTAGGCACCACAGGCTCAAGTACTGGGTCTTTACTGCTGTCCTGGCTCTTCTCTTGACTCCTTTCTAATCCTGATATTTTCGGGACAGCTGGGCCCCTAGCACCAGGGTCGTCATTTTCAGCTAGTGTACTGACTCCTAACTCTTTATCTGCAACAACAAAAGAAAGAAATAAAACAGTTAAGCGTGCGACAAAACCAAACTAATCGCTGTGCCAGAGTCACACTCTGGGCAGTTTTGTTTTGTTTCCGTCAAGGACCATGAAACCGACTCAAATCCAAAGTAATTTCCAGCAGCATCCCTAACCCTCAAGTCCTTCTCCTAATACCTCTCCTATTTTCTCATACAGAGAAAGTTTCTAGTTGTCTTCATTAATGTATAAAAAAGCAAGCACGCAAAAGTTGACCTGAGTGTAGTGGTTCAAGTGCTCGAAAAATCTTGAGTCAAAGATTCACAGAATTGTCTAGGTTGGAAAAGACCTTGAAGATCATCCAGTCCAACCATCGATCAAATCTGCCCCCAAATCCCCACTTCTACCTTTAGGGACAATACCAGGAGGTGTTGTGCTTTGCTTTGTTCTGTCTCTGCAGCACCATATATATATCTCGACACAGCGGGTCCTCCATACTTGCTTCCTGGGTCTTGTCTCCTAAGGATTTGTTTCCTAACTTTCCCATGCAACCGTGCTAGCGTTTCATCAATTTTAAAGAAAATTGGTTTAGCACAATAATCCCTTGACTCCAAGGTTTGGGGCCATAAAACGGTGCTGATACATTTCTGAGCGTGGGTACTATCATCTGTATGAGTATTTGGCAAAATCAGCCCCTAAATGATCACATAAACCCCACTGAAACTATCTACTGAATCACATAAGCACAAATTGGCGCAGTGCGAGGGGGGAGCTCCGCAGGAAGCCAGGCTCCACTGGGCTCTCTGCTGGAAGAACTGCTTGTTTTCTAGGCGCATCCCTTTATCCCTAATTACTATTATACGTTTACTATAACGTCTCTATTGCCTGGGCTGCCAAATGAACAGAACAAAAAGATTAAGGGAAACATATTTTTGCCTTGATTTTTCTTTCAGTGACATTAATTTTGGGCATTACTTTCCAGAAGAATGACCAAAGAAGTCAAGAAGACGACGTGATTAGTCCCGAGTATGTTTTCTTTAAAGACAACACACTCTACATGTGGTGTATGCATCTGCCTCTCGTCTTCTTTCTCCAATAACTCTCCTCAAAATAAACCACCTGGTAGAGAGGAGAGACCCTGCTTAGCACCACTCTTTTCTACTACTGTTACTCTATCATCACTCCCTTACCGACCCACTGAGGAAGCAAATGCAGCGTGAGCTCTGTGCCTTATTACATGAGAGCTAAACCTTAAAGCACATCTTAGTAGGAACCCAGGCTTTTTTGGTTTGGCTGGTCACGAAATGACTTGGTTTTGTTTTCCAGCTCTTTAGTAATACTGAATTTCATGACAATTTTAACATTTGCTACAGTGGAGTTTTGCTCACTGGGGCTCTACAGCCATTTCCCATTTGAATTACACCCCAAACCTTCTGCCAATGAGTACCTGACGCATGGCACCCCTTTGAACGAATGTGGGGGAAGGCTGCTGACCCAAGACGGGAAAAGGCAGTGCCTGCAGCCAGGCAGGCAGGGGGATCACCATTTAGGGCAATATCACACAGCAACTCTGAACAGTTAGACTTACACCTTTGACAATTACAGAAATGAAGCATAAAGGGAACACGCAAGATTTGAAGGGGCTGGGGACAAGCTTCTAATTAAAAAGTATCCAGTGTTCTAAATAATCCTAAGAAGGAAACTTTACTCGTTCTTCTGCCAATTTTAGGGGGTAAAATGAATAAACGCATAATAAAATAATATACATTTAGAGAAAACTGTTGACAGCTACATCATTCAAACCCTGCAGTAAAGGAGCGCAGATAAAGATGACGGGGAGTGTACTCTGCCAGTCCATAGCCCGAGCACACGTGTTTGCCATCACCAGAGCTGCCAGAGAGAGCTTGGAAGAAATGTGGCAAAAACATATCATCATTTGGGTTTAATTTCACGAAGAGATCATGTCAGGCCTCCTATTGCTAAGTGTTTTATGGGCCCTGTGCAATGGTGAGCAGCCTGGTAAAGTGAAGCTCAGACTGTTTTAATAGTTTGTAGACAGGAGATGGGGAAAAAACCTTTCGGTGCAAAAGGGAGGTAAAGAGGAGAGAAGAAAGAGAAAGAAAGAGGGGGGAAAAAACCCCCAGATTTATTTGAGGAGGACATACTTTAATCACTTCTGGAGTACGCAATCTGTAACAGGCAGAGAGGCTCCTCCATGAATCTGGATTGGAAGACTATGGGGGTAATAGTGGGACTCCAGAGGAATAAAAATAATTACTCTGCTGTATGCCCAAGGTCTATCTCATTGCAATTAAGTTGCAGGTTCTAAATAAAGGAAACTCAGTTTGCATTAATTCTTTGGATCAATCCTGTTTGATCAAACATTACTAAAAGTTAGACAGAGTGTGATCACCACATGTGTTAAGGCAGGTCCCCAAGGAGGAAAGAAATGAGCAACAGTTTGTTCAGCAATAGGTGGATCTATGTTCCTAGTCCTTACAGGTGTAAAAGTTACGCAACTTTTTTTTTTTTTTTTTTTACAGAAAAGCATAATAATTAGGACTTTGAGGGCTTAGCCTTGCCATCAGAAATTCCCTACAAGATTAATACGGTAGGTGGTCTAAAAATCCTGCAGAGGTGATACTTCCAAATCTATGGGGAACACCTTGCAGTCAGCGCATTCATTAAATCTTTTCATTTGATATTTTTAGTGTCTCTCGTGTGTGTAACATTTATTCAGCACAGCTCTCTGCTGGGGTGTTTGTTCCTCACGCAGTCGCTCCTCCTCCCCTGGAGGAAAGGGCTATGAATCCTAGTGTCTCCTGGGTATTTTTCACTGCTGCTTACATCTTCATTACACAGCCCCTTAAGTACCATTCCTGTTAGTTCACAGCTTAGAAGATGCTGTATTTAGTGAGATAATGTTATTCCAAATGTAAAACACTGAATGTGTGCACAGTTTCTCCCTCTCTCTCCGTCTTACACCATTACACCTACACTAACACCCCAAAACGGCATTAGATGTCCAGGAGTCTTTCTAACCCCAGAGTGCCTGGTACACGCATCCCTTCATGGCTGCTAATTATGATATATAAATCAGGAGGAATTCTTCATCCCACAGTATCTATTTAGGGAGTTGAAATCCCACACCAGTGATGAACACTACCAATTATATGTTTCGTAAGAAGGGCTCAAGTCTTCATCAACAGTACTTCAAGGTCATACATACAAGATTACTCTTTTTCTACCAGTACATCTTTGTGTATCACATTATTTCTGAATGTTGACTAACCCAGGGTAAAAACTAAGGGGAAAAAAAAAAATTCTTCACATCACCATGACACAGGCAACCCAACTACAGAACTTTCTGAGTTTGTTTATACATCATAGGAATTCATCTCCATCCAACAGCTAGAGAAGCAAACAAGCTAATGTTATTTGATGACAGTCTCCATACTCTACTTTGGATAAAGTGAAATTACTGCATCGGTATTCAGAAGAGCAGTAACTGTGATGTAACTTCTGTGCTGACACAGGCTTCCCTTTTTCCACTGGGTTGATATTGCATCCAGCAGCAGTCAGTCTTTTTACTGAAAAAGGAATAAAGCCATAATTCGATGCTCTCTGAGGACTGAGGAGAAACATTGGCTAAGCTCGTCCCACACAGACAGGACATGCAACTTCCATTATCTTCCTTTCCTGTCTTTGCCCTTTGATGTGTCTTAAATCTCAAATCCATCTATTTTTCACTTAACACACACAATCTGGGGATCTCTCAGGATGCAGGGCTCTCAGTCCCCTCTCCAAGTAACACAAGTGCAGTTAGCAGTTTGCTTTGTCTATGTGATTATTACTTGGTTGGCTCAATAACACCAGAGGAGCAGACAAGGCCACACTGGGAAGACCTGTAAGTAAACCAAATGACTGCATGTGAACTAGAGACTCTGCAGCTGCGAGTTTACATTATATTTTATACACATTCTGTGAACATACACATATACACATGCACTCCCATGTGTTTATATACATGTATGTTACGTCTAATACATATGCATTTATATTTATAGCCATATCTATCATATGTATACACATCGAGAACAGAGAAATACACAGTGCATGCAAACACGTCCATTAAAAGACAGGAATTTTTATAATAAACACAGATGATATGCAGCATTCAGCTGAAATGCCATTGCCTCTCCTCCTAACGTGCAAACCAGTAAAATTTGACCCAAACTCTGTGTTCTGGCTCCTTTGTACCATTAGGGTGATCCAAAAGAGCTAGAGGATGGCCAGAGGTGGCCAGTTGAGAACATCTCAGCCACAAGACGAAGCCCAACTATTCTGCTGACAAAAAGGCCCTGTTGAAATTAGCCAGATTTGAAATTCCCAGAGATTCACCAATAATGAACGCTCTGATTTGGCCTGGTTAAGGGTTGTTTGCAGATAGGTTCAACATGTTTAACGGTTGCACCAATGACCACAGGAGATGCTAAGCACCAGCACAGGGCGTTTCATGCCGAGAGCTGGGACACACCAACCTGGCCAGTCCCGAGTGGCAGCCAAGGACGTGTGAACTGGGCATCTCCGACCTGACCTGATGGTACTTGGGGAACGAAATCTCCTTAGACAACGTCCTGCAGGATGCTGTCACCTTGCAGTGGCCAAACCACTTTTCTAAACACAGAATCACCCAACTTTTCCATGTCCAGGTCTGGAACAACTGGAGTTTCATTCAGAAACTAGACTATATCATATCCTGTCACTCCTCCTTCTGTCCACATTAGGATTTAGCCTCTCTGCATCTGGCCTGGGAATATTCAGGCATCTTAAGAGAGCAATTCAGAATCAGCATTGAATTGTCCATTCTCTTGAGAGGGTTCTGAACTAACCTCAAAGTCCCTATTGCACAAGTAGGGAAATTATAGGAATTTTCAGTGTTTTGCAGCATTATCTTTGGGACTGAGTATTCAGCCCACCAAGGAAATATTCTATAGCATTATTTAATGTAAAAATAGCA